TCCATGCAAGTCACCAAAATTCAAAATAGGCATCCAGTTTGTGTCTGCAGCTTTGCAGTGTTGACATTGCAATGATGGTAAAATTTCAATATGTTTTTCAGCTCTACTGTCAAACATTTAATTTGATTTAGACAGCCTTAAAGGAAGTTTAGCACATTTATTGTATATTTGAGATTCATCTTTAGTTATAGAGAGTGATTTTCAAGAAAATGTTAACCTTTACTTGCTTATTTTATTTTTTTTTATTCCTTAGTGCTTTTTAGGCAAACAAACTAGCCAAACAACACATTTAAATACTACAATTTTCTCAAAATGTTTTATTTGTTCAGAAAATTATGCTTTTAAGCCCAGCACATCAGAAAAGCAGAAGTGGAGGTTTAGTGGTTTTTTTTTTCTTCCCGAAGATGTTTCTGTACGAAGCATCATTAAAGCAAAAGTCCTGCCAAAGCTGTGACAAACATATTTTTTCTTTGCTTCAGGGAAATGTTAATGGTTTAGCTCGACTATGAAATTAAAGCACACTAGACCTGCACGTGTCTTCCAAAGCACACGAAACAACAACAAAACAACAACAACAACGTGAATGTTCATTTTTGCTCAACAAGACAGATCTAAAGCAGCAGGCAAGATCAGATGCAGCTGTGACATTCTCATCGGCATCAGCAACGTCAAAAAGTTTGGCAAGGACAAGTAAAAGCAAGAATGGAAAGAAACATAGAAAACAACACAACAGAATGTCATCATAAAACCAAACAAAGCTTTAAAATATATTGAGTCGCCCTCTGTCATATTTTGTTTCATTTAACACAGAAGTTCATTCTTGCTTTTAGAAAAAAATAACTTTTTGCTCCATGGAAAATAAAAATAAGTTGTAGACAGTTTTAAAATACCATTATTGTAAAAAAAAAAAAAAAAGGAAAACAATAAAAACATGAACAGAACTGTCTGCATGTTGGCAATCCTTAAAAAAAAAGACCACTCAGAATAAAGCTTGCACTTTCCTTTCAGAATAAAATATTTACTTCCCTGTAAACTAGCGACACGTGGAGATTTTCAGCAAGATTAAAGAATACTCTGACCAGGATTACAGCTACAGGTGGAGCTATTTAAAGGCAGCGGATGGAAAAACATACACAAACGTCTTTAATGTGACCAAACAAATAGAGAGGTTCATTGGGGTGAACTTGATAGATTCAGTCGCTTGAGAAAACAACTTTACTCGCCTCTGCTCACTTCAGCTGCCTCTCTTCTGCACAAAACCATGAAACCGCGTGTGGCATCCTGCAATTTAACACGCTGATGCTGAATAGTGGAGGGGGGCGAAGAGAGAAAGAAGTGTGACTCAAGAGGAAATAGAATTAATTCAGTGCCATTCAGCGACTCCTGTACTACAGCAACATACAGACCGACACTCTGTTCAATGTTGCTCTTCCTCGCTTTATTCTCAGCCTCTTCCTCTCTCTCACTTCTCAGCTGTCATTTTCTAATTCATGGTGGCTGCACTCCAGACTCCCCTGGTCCCTGTACCTGAAAAAAGGCTAGTTATGCAACTCCCCCCACCCCCACCCCCCTGCATGTACACATACAAATACCAAAAACAGTTTACACCACCTCCTCTTACGCAAGAATATTCACCCCTCACAAAAACATACACCGCATCATTTCACATTTGCAAAATCCTAACTTGTAATAAATTAAGGCTCCGAAGAGCGCTGCATTTTCAGCACAGCAGATGAAATGTGTAAATTTACCTGTCAGTATGAAAAGATTAAAGGGATAGCCTGGTCATTTTAGACTCATGTTCTCTCTTATAAATAATACATTATCAGCTGTGACATCCATCATAGAGCATGTATACAGAAAGAGGCAAAAGTTTCCTGTAGGCTAGGCTAATGGCTAGCCAAATGAGGGACATATACAATAGTCCCTCGCTACTTCGCGGTTCAATTATCGCAGACTTGAGCTATTGCGGTTTTTCAAAATAAGATTGGACATGACACACAACTGGATGATTGATGGATGAGCTGCACGATCAGCATGGCATTTTTATTTAAAATAAATTATTTTAAATTATTTAGTACCTGCTGCACCTTTGTGCAGCGCAAAGCTGCATAAAAAGCTTAATCCTGAAGCTCAAAAGTGGGCGTGGCCAAGAACGCTCGCAGGTGGCAAAGAGCAGAGGAGGCAGGGAGCTGAAATCATGACATTCTGTGTTTTTTTAGAGCATTTAGAATTTAGAAACATTGTTTAGAATATTACAAGAGTGTGGGAAGGGTATATATTAAATAAAGTACTTTTTACTACTTGTACCACTATTCTTTTTTTTTTTT